CAATGAAGAGCGAGACAAATTTAAGAGAAAGCTATGCCGGGAAAGTAAACATACAGGAGTACTTGAGTAAAAGTTTATCTCGGTAATTTATAGTTAAATTGAATAAATGTAATTGACCACTATGTTTAACCGTAATTACTTACCATTCTAGAAATCTCGAGAAGCAGAATTTACTCGTAAGATCTCGCGCGGCCGGTTCAAAACTGCTTAAGGCCGAAGAAAGAGCGTCTCAATTCAGTTGCTTAGTTATTGTTCTTGCGAACTGTAGTTCCGCGCGAAGAGATAAATCGGATTTAGCTTTCTCTTTAGATATACGCTTTGCATTGCGTTGTAGTTTAAAGTTTTCAGTAGTCTGAAGTATAACTACTGACTATTACTGCGTGATATTGTGAACACTTGTACGAATATCCCTTAGGAAAATTCCAGCGTTCTCTTATATTGCTTCTGATAAGAATAAATTTTAGTAACCTTTTATCGGACTTGTGCATTCAATCTATTTCAAACTCGTACGCAAGCGTCACTTTCGTTGTCGGAAGTCAAACTTCTTGATCATTTGGCGACATTTTGGTCCGGTTCCTGTATCACCGTAATAAATATTCTAACTGAATAAATATAATTGTTGACTAAATTAGCTGTAACCGTATTTCGACCGTCATATTGAGTTCCAGTAATTTCGGGAAGCAGAAAGTACTAGAAATATGTTGTTTGCCGATTGAAAATTGTAAAAGGCCGGAGACAAAGCATCTGCTATCAGTTACTTAATTATTGTTCTTGCGAGTTGTTAGTTCAGCGTAAAATGAGATATATCCGATTTAGTTTTCTCTTTAGATGCGCTTTGCATTGCCTTGTATTTAACGTTCTTAGTAGTTTGAAGTGTAACTATTGACTGTACTCTGTGGTATTGTGAACACCCGTAAGAGAATTTCTGCCGAAAATTCCAGAACTTTGAAGTGTTTCTTTCGATTAAATAAATTTTATTAACCTATCATCGGACCTGTGTGCATTCACTATGTTACGAACCAGTACGCACGCAATGATATTTTATTTCCGATGACTCATAATATTAAATTATATCACTTTGGTTACAAATGATAAATTTCATTGTTTGGTACTGTACTAAATGGTTAAAAAGTAAATAATGTTTAATGAATAAAGTTTAATGAATGCTTGTATTATTTACTCTTTTGTGGATTTAGTCTTATATAAAACAAAGTATAATAATGATGCATCATTATTGTTGATAACGAAGTAATTTTTTTTTCTAATTGTTTAATCAAAACTTCAAACGTAAGTCATACGCATGTCTACGGTATTATTTCAAACTTCCATGTCTAGATTTTTGGCTAAGAATTGCATTTTAGAGTAGCATTTTTAGAATTCACATCTGTAAATAGAACGAAAATTTTACAGGAAAAAAAAGAGAATTGATATTGAAAAGACATTTGAAGTACAGTTCTTAACTAGAAATTAGGTGCTTTGATATTATATCTATCAGTTCTTTAGAAAATGCTTGTAGAAATGTCAAGACACAATTCCTCAATCTATCTCCAGAAATAATAATCTCTTATCCTACTTCAATATCATAAAATATATTTTGAGGTAAAATTGATTTTCTGTGTTCCTGGGAGCGTATTTCCAAACACTACCCCACTTTTTGAATTTTTGATGTCTCGAAAAAATTAACTAGTTTCGCATGTAGAATTCTTGCGCATGTGCGAAGCAGTCGAAGGGCGAAACTTGTAATGGCGTAAGAAGATATTAGGTATTCTGAAAAGAAGTAATGGCATAAACAAAGTAGTAATATTCTCGCATAGCACACTAAATGCTTACACATCAGCTAGCAATACGATAAAAGTTGATAAATTAATAATATTTGCAAAATTAAAGGAGTTGTAGTATCCGGAAGTATGAAAATTTACTTAGTGATTAAATATCGTATTTAAGTTCTGAAAAGATACTCATTAACTTCAATGGAACTTAGTAAATTAGTGTATTCACTTGCTAACGCTTTTAAGTATACAGTCTAAAAGTATATTCTTTTCGATAATTGCATATTTTAACCAGAGCTCAAATTGCACCGGAGCTTGTCAGTTTTTGAGATAAATCACAATTTTAACCGGATCGCACCGGCACTTCTTTTCTGTAAGTGAACCCCAATTTTAACAGAAAAATTTTATTTTAAAAATTTATTTATTTTATGCCTTAAAAATCTATTCTAATTTCTGAATGCAAGCCTGTCTTTCCCTTGGACAAAGGTTGAACTTATAAGAAAGACTCCACTGACATGTCAAAGGCTAATTCTAAAGGAAGTGCAATGATTTATGACAGTGAGTAAACTTTTCGTTCTTGAAGATACTGAAAATGATAACCTGGTTGTGCATATGCCACGCTAGTGACTTGCTACTGCAGATGTTAAGTAGACTTTTTGAACAATGTGACCAAACTCAGAGCTTAATTCCTAAAGTTACAAGTACCGGAACCCTATGGAAGACTGTCAGGAAGAAAGAAAAAACAATAAATAAGTAAAATAATTAAAAATTTAAATAACTAAGTCAAAATTAAAAGAAATGTAAATAGATAAATAGAAAATTAAATTATTGAATTAATTATAATTAATTAAATAAAAAATGAATTATCGAACCTTGTCTTATTCAGGACTCCTGCTGCTGCAGTTTTACTTAGAAGCTAAGAAGTAGTTTAACTGCTCTCAATCTGAATTTCAGCTCTAGTTATACCTATAATGAGCTACTTCAAGGGATGATAGATACAAAATCTATATTTTTTGCACCACACAAATAAAAAAAGATGAAACAATTAAAGTGTAAGAATTATAGTGAGAATTCTAGAAACAGTAGGAGTATATGGAAAGAAATTTTAGCGAAAAATGTAGCTTTCATAATAAAGAGAGAACAGCAAGCCTTTCTGATAGCTATGTCTCGTCGATGTAATTCTAGCCGTCAAGTGGAAGTTTTCCCTGACCACGATCCATTAACAGCATGAGAATAAGCGTGACTCCTTTGTATTAGTGACAGTAGTGGTCCCTTGCATTTGGTTCACGGAGTATAAATGGAAGTAAAATCATTATACTCCGTGGTTTGGTCACATTGTTCAAAAAGTCTACTGAAGATCTGCAGCAGGAAGTCACTAGCGTGGCATATGCACAACCAGGGATCATTTTCAATATTTTCAGGAACGAGAAGTTTACTCGCTCTCATAAATCATTGCACTTCCTGGAGGATTAGCCTTTGATATGTGAGTGGAAGCTTTTCTTTCCTTAAAAGTCTCAACCTCTGTCCAAGGAAAAGACAGGCTTGCATTCAGAAGTTAGAATAGATTTTTAAAGGCATAAAATAAATAAGTTTTTAAAATAAAATTTTTTCTGTTGAAATTGGAGTTCACTTGCAGAAAAGAAGTGCTGGAGCCCTTTTATTTAGGGTTGTGGTTAAAATTATGATTTATCTAAAAAACTGAGAATTACTGGAGCATAGCTCCGATAAGCTTCGGCGAAATTTAAGCGGCGAAAATTAAGCATGGGGTATAACGATTTTACTCCGTATATTCTGAGACGTATTGCGGTTATTTACGCTGCAGCGCCTTGGGACGCTTTCATTCTCATAGATGATAACGTCAAGCCATATCGTACTCAGTTAGGGGACAATTTCTTTACGAAGAAAGAATCCTTCGAATGAACGACGAAGGAATCCCATACGTTCCTGTGATATGAACTCAATAGAACATGTTTGGGATATTCCAGGAAGAAGGGTTGCTAGTTGTTTATCAGCATAAGAAATAATTCAGCAGTTTGAAAACTGTCTTCTACAGGAGAGGGAGAGAGCACCCCAATTAATCCGTCATTAATAACCTCATTGATTCTGTGCCTCGTAAGTGTGCGACATTGTTTTCGATCAGGAAAACATTCACGTTATTGAAACTTGTTTGCATTCCAGATATCACATCTTTTGTTTATTGGTATAATATGCACAAACTGGGCATTTTTTGTTTATCGGCAAATATCATCAATAAAATTTAAGTATGCTTTGTTCGTTGCTTCTTTTCTTTTTTCATATTTTACAACACGTATACATCATATATCGGTCACTAAAACATTTCCTCATCCGCAGTTTATATCCAAAATCGTAATATCCGGTAATTGTTTCCAGCAGTGTACTTATTTCGCTCTGCCAGTTAATTTCATGTTCGTTTCACAAATCGGATATTTATACAACTTTGCGATCAGTATTTTCTCCACTCAATCATGCATTTTTTACTCTTTCTCTCCAACTGTTAAAAAAATTAAAATTCAGCTGTTCATCTATATTGCGAAAGCACGGACACCAGACATATTCAATAAAAAATTCTTTGAGCCAAGAATTTTTTTCTTTGTGTTGAGCAGTTGCTGTTATAAATTTTAAATCCTTTATTCAATATTTTCAATCGTTTAGCAAATCTTAATGCATGTTTGAGAGGTGCGTGTTGTGTCAAATGTTAACAAAAGCACGCAATACAAAATGAAGTAGATTTATAATAAAAAAAACTCGCGTAGTAATATTATAAATCTAATATTTCAACTCAGTTAAAATACAATTTAATTTTACTTCAAATATGAAGTTATAGCACAACTAGGCGTATCCAATTAAAGTCATGAAAAGACGTTTCCAAGACTAAGGAAGTAAAAAATTGTCTTGATTTCTTCAGCGTCTCTTAGAATTGAGCCAAAAGTACATTTATTTTTACCATGTGGGCAGAATAAGTTCACAGTAATCACTAATTTATTTTACATAACACTTTGAAATAGAAGGAATGCCGTCCACGTGACGACACAGCTCACATCACTCCAAACACTGTAGCAATTAAAAAAAAAAAAAGAATAGAATACAAATCACATAAATTATGAGTTGAAAGTTCGTTACCATAGCAACCAGAATTGAATCATCAGGCAGCAACGCCATCTATTGTTGCAAAGACACACTAGTAATTCGTTTGGTAACCAAAAAAAAATACTAAACATAGCCCCCGGCCTTGAAGCCTTCTAAGGGTTCAAAAAAGACAAATAGTTAAAGCATACATAATAACATTAACAAAAAAAATTAATTGAAAATATAACTAAAATTAAAGTTCAATAATATGAAAAAAGTCAATAGTTCATAGTTCATATTAGTCATGATTGGGGATAAGACACAATTTAGTAACAGCTCGTTTGAAATCACCAGCGGCTGTATGGATTGTAGCCACTCGAACTTTTTTATCACTACCTGGATGAATTAAGGCAATTCTTCCAATTTTCCATTGGTTTGGAGGCAGTTGTTCGTTTTTGATCAGAACTAAATCACCACATTTTAGATTTGGAGACGCACGAAACCACTTAGCACGTTGTTGAAGTGTTGTTAAATATTCTGCACACCATCGTTTCCAAAAATGTTGCACAGTCTGTTGAACTAGAGACCAACGTTTAAGTCGTGAAGATTTCACATCACTCAAGTCAGATTCCGGAATGGCAAGCAAAGGGGCTCCAATCAGAAAATGACCTGGAGTCAATGCACTAAAGTCGTTTGGATCACTAGACATCGCACAAAGAGGACGGGAATTCATACACGCTTCCACTTGTGTAAGCACTGTTAAAAATTCCTCGTAAGTTAGAAGTGTGGATCCTAATACTCGTTTAAGATGAAATTTCATGGATTTCACATTAGATTCCCACAAGCCACCGTAGTGAGGAGATGTCGGAGGATTAAATAACCAAGTTATACCTTCTGAGGTAATGTAGTCACATAATTCACTGCTTTTCTCAATGCGAGCTGCATTTTTATAAATCTCCTTCAGTTCCTTACTAGCACCTTTGAAGTTAGTAGTAGCACAGTCACTCGAAATTTTAGATGGTTTGCCTCGTCGGGCGATAAATCTTTTTAGAGCTGCTAAAAACGTTGAAGTTGATAGAATCACTGACTAACTCCAAGTGTACAGCTTTTGTTGAGAAACACACAAAAATGGATACGTAACACTTGAAAGTTTTTGTTCTTCTCCCAACTTGGGACTTAATAGAATATGGACCAGCATAATCAACACCGGTGACTGCAAAAGGTCTTGATGGTTGAACTCTGGGCGAGGGTAAATCACCCATTATCTGGGTCACAGTCTTGCCTCGATTTCTAATACAAGGAATACATCTGTGAATAATCTTTCTCACTACGCTTCTCACCGCAAGAATCCAAAACTGCATTCGTAAAGTGCTTATTAATAACTCTTGACTAGCATGCAAATAATTGACATGGTAATGAGTTACGATGAGATTAGTGACATGTCCTTCCTTTGGAAGCAAAATAGGATGTTTGCTATTTTCAGGAATGTTTGCATTTTTTAAGCGACCACCTACTCGAATGACGCCTTCTTCATCAAGGAAGGGAGTTAATTGTATTACTCGGCTGCTCACACCTTTTAATTCTCCTTTAATCTTTTAATCCTTTAATCTTTTAATCACCTTTTAATTTACACCTTTTAATTTAATTAAATAAGAGAGCTCTTGAGGAAAATATGATTCTTGGACATTTTTATCACTGTTTTTGTAGCTAATCGAAGCTCATAGTTGTCAGAAAACCTCTCAAACGATTTTCGGAGAAGTTTCAACAGTTGTAAATAAATCTTAGGCATAATGCAACTATACAACGTAATTTTGTCCAAGATGAATACCGTTTAAAAATGTCATTTTCCTTTACCGCACAAGATACTGAAATGCAAGTTTTTCTTTCTTCTCTACGAACTCCTTCATAATCTACATCAGCAAAGATGTTCACTGTCAGGACATGGTTCGAAATCTTGTGAATATAACCAAGTAGGTCCAATGAACCATCGCTCACACTTCAGAAATTCTGCTGGAAACATTCCTCTTGTACCTGAATCAGCTGGGTTCCGCTTTCCATTGATATGGTTCCACCTTACATTAGGAATTGTATTCTGTATTTTAGCAACGCGGTTTGCAACAAAGGGAACCCAACGGTATGGTTCTGCAGAAATCCAGGACAGTACAACAGTTGAATCTGTCCAGGCCAAAACTTTACGTATAGGAAACTCTAAATGTTCTAACACTGATTTAAGCAAATTCACTAACAAAACTGCGGCGCATAACTCTAATCGAGGTAATGATTGCACTTTCAGAGGGGCAACTCTTGTTTTTGATGTTAAGAGTGTTACTTTGATGTCCAAATTACGTGACACTGAACGCAAATAAATTGCTGCACAGTAGCCTTTCTCGGAGGCATCACAAAAAGCACAGATATCAATATAGTTCACGTCAGGAATCAAAACAAATCTCGGTATTTTTAATTGTTGAATAAGATGTAAATCATTTCGGAAAATCTTCCATTTGTTAGCAATCTCATCACTAACAGGTTCATCCCACGATAAATGGAGTTTCCACATGTCTTGTATCAAGATTTTGACATAAATAATACAAGGAGCAAGCCAACCCAATGGGTCAAATATTTTCGCTAAATCAGAAAGGATATCTCTTTTAGAGTATTTAAACTTTTCACCAGAAATGGATACGGAAAAGTTAAAGTAGTCTTCACGGGGGTTCCAATTAATTCCTAAAACTTTGATTGAGCTATCGTCTTGAATTTTCATAGCCTCAGAATCATTTCTCAACTCCTGGGGTATATTCTCTAACACTGACAAGTCATTGGATGACCATTTACGCAGAAGAAATCCTCCACGTTCTAACATTTGCAAGAGTTGATTTACTAGATTTTTGCACTCTTCAGTGTTTTGAGCACCTACCAAACAATCATCTACAAAAAAGTTTTGAAGTACAGCCTTCGAAGCTAAAGGATAGTTATTCTGCTCATCGTAGGCAAGTTGGTATAAAGCACGAGTAGCCAAATATGGAGCCGAGGCAGTGCCGTATGTGACAGTATTAAGTCGAAATTCTTGAATAGGATCACTTGGACTGTCCCGCCAAAATATCCTTTGAAAGTTTCTATCCTCTTCATTAACTAGAATTTGTCTAAACATTTTCATGATATCAGCTGTGACAACTACTGGGTAACATCTGAATTTGACCAAAACTGGAAACAGCTCTTGTTGTATTCTGGGACCTGTCATCAATATGTCGTTAAGAGATAGTCCTGATGAAGACTTACTAGTAGCATTAAATACCACACGTATTTTACTCGTAGAGCTAGATTCCTTAATTACTGCATGATGTGGGCATGTAGTATGCCTGACTTGGGGACTCTGAACTACGGACTGGTTCCATGTGCCCGAGATCCAAGTATTCCTTCATGAAATGTTTATACATATCATATGTATCAGGAGATCTTAAGAGATTTCTCTCTAAAGATTTAAATCTTTGTAAAGCAAGATCTTTAGAATTACCCAACCTTGAAGGGTTATCTTTAAATGGAAGTTTCACTACATAACGACCATTTTGATCACGGAAGTGTGTTGTTTTAAAGAACTCTTCACATTTTTTATCTTCACTTGAAATACGTTTGACTTCCGGAATGGAGTCTAAAGACCAAAATCTTTCAACTAATTCGTTTGTATTCAACTGAAGATTATTCACTGTAAAAGTGTTAGTTAGATTCGAATCATCAGTAATAGTGTTCCCGGAAATGATCCAACCCAACTGAGAACAAATTGCAAAGGGTAATGATTCTCCTCTCTTTATGATGTCTCCCTTAAGCATAGTAAAAAATACATTTACACCTAACAAAATATCTATAGGTTTTCTTTCATAGAACTTAGGATCAGCTAAGACTAGATCGTCAAAATGATTCGCAATTTTAGAAGGAAGCGACACGTTAGGCACATCTGAAGTTATCCTTGGAATCACGAATGCATATGTTCGAAATTTGGAATTTGACTCAAAGTGCGGGGTAAAGATTAATTCCACTTCTCCACTTGTTACAGTGTTGAACGAACCAAGGCACGATACTTCAATTTTTTTGTTAAATCTACCTAACTTTAGTTTACTGACACACTCTTCACTTATAAAGCTGGCTTCACTGCCACAGTCTAGTAAAGCCCTGCAAGGGATGGCTTTACCATTGGAATCACTAACTTTAATGAGAGCAGTACACAGTAATACACGTTTTGATTCACCTTTAGAATAACTAAATTGTCCTGTACATGTTGTGGCATTTGTAACGACTTCATTCTTTGGTAAGAACACTTCGGCTTGGGGGAGAGTGAGGAGTGAGGACGTTTGTTTTGGTTTCTCATTTTCACTAGTTTTGATATTTCGATCAAAATGAAGAACAGTATGATGAGGTAACTTACACGTCATACATTTATGTAAACTACGACAGTTTTTCACTAAATGAGGCTGAGAAGATAAACAATTAAAACAAAGTTTGTGTTTCTTAACAAATTCGATTCTTTTTTGGACACTTAAGTTTAAAAACTTACCACATTTGTGAAGAGAATGATCTTCCTTGCACATTATACAACTGTTTTTACTCGACACTAAAGAAGTTAATTTGGAATTAGAAAATTTCCTAAAATCTTTAGATTGGTTTCTACTATTCTGAAGGGTTCTAGCGTGGTCTTTTAGAAACTCGAGTAAATTATCTAAAGTACCTAATTCATCTTTTTTCAAAGTTCTTTCCCACCAAAATTTTATGTTTTTATCTAATTTCTCAGTTATCAGATAAACAAAAAGAACATCAGAAAGATCAGAAACTTCTAGCTTAAGAGTTCTCAAAGAGCGTACACATTCATTCACTACATCAACACAATGTAAAATAGCTTGAGCTGAATCAGAAACATTTGGCAAATTAAACATTTTACGGATTAATGCATTAGTTAATTCTCTTTTATTAGAATAACGTTCCTGTAAAAGTTGCAACGCTATATCATAATTAGCATCAGAAATAGGAATTGACTCAATAATAGACAGAGCCTTTTTTTTACAAGAAGCCTTTAAATATTGAAACTTCTGACATTTAGAAATATTCGGATTGTTATCTACACTAGCCTTAAAAAGATCATAGAAACTAATCCACTCATCTATATTTTCCCCTGTAAAGGTAGAAAGTTCTAATTTTGGTAATCGAACGTCAGACGAATTTACTTTTGCTACACTACTTGTTTCGATAACAGAGTCACTGGAAAGTTTCTGTAACTTTTTATTTATAGTTATCCATAATTCATCTAAAGTTTCTTGTATTGTTTGTTGTTCCGTAATGAATGTATCACAATCTTTTTCAGGACACAACAAAAATATTTCCTCATAAATAGAACGAAGCTCACTGTTAAAAGCATTTAGTTTCGTTTCGAACAACTTTACCTCTAAAATTTCTGCTTGTTCTAAATTCGAATTTACCTTGCCTTTAAACGTTGTTATATTGCTTTTTAGAACCTTCTTTTTAGTTAAAACTGGTTTCAAATCAGCCATTATGAATAACAATAAATATTATACTAACAACTCTAGCAAAAGAAGATGAAATATTGGAACGTACTCACCCCAATGTTGAGGTTTCTACGCTACACCATGCCACGGGAATATTCCACAAATCGAAACTGATTTCACCACAGATGCCACACGCATAATCCACAAATCGAATCGAAAGTACACTAAGCTGATTATTAATCCACAAATCGAAAGTGATTTAACTTGCTAATATTTGAATAAATCACATCATATCCAAAGATCGCTAACTCTTCTCTTCGGTCGCTACGGACCAGGAATGTTAAGAATAAGTCACAAAAACAAAGGTAAGCGGACTGTAATATCACCAATTTATTTTACATAACACTTTGAAATAGAAGGAATGCCGTCCGCGTGACAACACAGCTCACATCACTCCAAGCACTGTAGCAATTAAAAAGAAAACAAAAAAGAATAGAATACAAATCACATAAATTATAAGTTGAAAGTTCGTTACCATAGCAACCAGAATTGAATCATCAAGCAGCAACGCCATCTATTGTTGCAAAGACACACTAGTAATTCGTTTGGTAACAAAAAATACTAAACACCATGGGAGAAATAACTTCTGATGTAAAACTCTTGCATAATAATCGCAGATAAAATTGACATACTACTTTAAAAATAAACAGCAACTTAAACATGAGAATTATTAAATTATTGTTATCAGATTGATCATTTCACAGTAACAGACAGTATTCATTCACCATTTGCTAAAAATATTTTTTTTACAATATGCCATTAAAATAAATAATGCTGATATGAATCTGAGAATCTACTTCAAATTTAATATTTTTAAAATCCAGAATTCAGCGGAAAAAACTGATGCACTTTAAATAATATAAGAGGATAAGGAGGCCTGGAACATATGATATACATAATCATAATTGTAAAATAGAAGAGAGAGAGAGAGAGAGCTCGATAGAAAGTCTGTAAAACTTCATCCATTCTCAGCTTATCATTAGAAGGGGACATTTAATCTACAGAAACTTTTAAATTCAGTATGTATTTGAAATCAGGATTGGTACAATCACTTTATTTACAAGTTCAAATATTTTCCACCGCTTGTGGGTCCCCAAGAACACATTATGAAAGAAATTTTTATTCATAACATATCCGTTATTATCCGCGAAGTTGGTGTCACCTTTGCCAGATGTCTATATTGTGCCCCGTTTTAGTTTTTATCATTTTCCAGCTTCAAAATTTAAAGTAATTTATTCCACAAAGCAACTGCAACGCTTACTTGATGCATTAGCACTTTCTAATGGCACTGGATCATCATCCTGAACCACGTCAAATTCTGGGTTTTCTGCACCATATTTTAAGCATATGTTATGCAAAGTAGCTGCAGAAATCCACATTTTACGTATCTTACTTGGTGTATAAAACATTGTTCCACCCGTTTTGTGCAATGCCATAAATCTGGATGACACCAAAACATCTTTCTATAGCGCCAAGAGCTTATCCGTGGTTTTTCATTGAACAGGTACTCTAAACTCAAACCGTGATTTAAAAATTGGTGTTATCTAACTGGGTAACCATTGTTTCCCAGTAAATAAACCCGACGCGCGAAAATTCTTGATTCCAGATTGTATTTGAGTCTATTCAAACTCCATGTAAACGAATCATGAACCCTACATGGTCATAGTGCTCTAAAACCTGCAGATCAGCATCACATACCTGGCAAAACATACAAACTGTAAGTCAAAAGAAAAACTCATTAGAAATTTTTAACATGAAGTACAATTGAGATTTTGATAAATCAAACATTTTAAGGAATTCACTTTCTATTTTTATTAAAAATGTCTTGATAAATGTAAAAAAACATGCAATCAAATGTTATATTTTAACAATTTAGTAATATATATACATAAGAGGAATTTTAAAAAAATGTTCTGAAATAACTATAATACTATATTTACTATCACACGTTTTAATACCATTTGCACATTATTGGAGAATTTATTTTTTCGGTTAATGAAGACAAATCAGTCATTGTGTGCAGTCTATTGCACTCGCAACATTCGTAACCTCTTGTTCAACCCTTCGTAAAATCCTTGTTGATTTCCAGCAGCGCTGATTTTTAATGTTCGGATACTTTATATATTTATGTGTTATCTACATAAGAGCAGAAAGCACAAAGTCATAAAATCTGAACATTGCAGACTGTGATGCATCAACAGGAAACACATTAGCAAGTATACATACTGGAAGCTGCCATTTGACAGAATCCCGAAGTTCATTCAGAACCTAAAAAATACCACAAACGCTTTAGAATATTTACCATACTTCTTTTGCAAATTTATAAAAGTTTTAACACACATTTTTTTGTTTCAATTAGGGAATAGATTTATAGCGATGCAGAAATAAAATATGATACATAAAACACAATTTTCTCAACTTCTTTATGTGTGTGTGTGATTATGGCAAAGCCTCAAGGGCTATCTGCCTAAGAGGAGGGATGCCTTCGTGGAGGACTTTCTAAGGGAAACTGGCACGTATACACGTTACACATGAGGAAAACCACGAAAACGCCCATGCAGCCAGCCCGTTCGCGGTATTCGAACCTCGGACCGAACTACCAGTGATCAGCGACTTTACCGCTCGCCCCCACTTCTTTATGGAAGTACAGCATGCTTGTTAATTTTCTCCTAGTGTAAAATGGTATAAAGAAACCAAACGCTTATCTTTTCACATTGCGCACATTTTTTTAAACTGCATTAATCTGTGCTCCTATGTAAAAATTATCATCATCAAACTAGCTGTAAGGTGGCGTATATTTCTAAAAATTAGTAATATATTTCACGCGGGAAAAAATTAATAATCCAGTTTTAAGCTTAAATCAAAGGTTAGGTTATTGAAATGGGGCAAAAGCAGATGCGAGCTATTCGCCTAAGGCAAGGGATGCCTTGAGGAGTACTTTCTAAGGAAAACTGTCTCTTATTCCTGTTACACATGGGGAAAACCAGGAACAGCAACCATGCACCCAGCCCATTTGCCTGAAATCGAAAGAATGTTGAACTCCCAATATTGGGCTGTCTTTAACCAACTGGAACATTGTTAGGGAATTTAACCAAAGATATTAGTGCTCTTGCAAAAGGTGACTTACATTGTTTTGCCTTTGATTAGGAATATGAATCATGTGACACATCTGCTTGATGATAAATCATCAAAAAAAATTTTTGTTGATACTTTTTTCTATACTATCAACACTCAGACAATAGAATTTCTATGAAGCCATCTTCAAAAAATTAGTTGTATGAACAACAACATCCATAATGCTGCTCCACCACCCTGTTGAATTGTGACGCCGATCTGTTAACAAATTTGTGGCCAATTCAAAAAATTCTGGCTACGTTGAAAGATATCGGGACAGTGTTTTTGTGAATGAAGAATAGGTATAGCTATCGGTTTTGCTTTATATCTGATTATAGTAATAAAATGATAGTTATTGACAAATACGAAACAGAACTGGGGGAATTGGCAGACGCCAAATAGAATTGCTGAAACTGCTTTTTAATGTGTTTAAAGTACAATTATGACCACCGAGGAATGTAACAGGTCCTCTTTAAGGTCACAAGCCTGTAGTAATGCTGTATAACTTAATATCCCCAATAGCACGGCGACATCGCTGTGACACTGCAAACGTGTCACACTGTGACTATCTCAATATTGCAGTAACGTTGTAATAATGGCCTAATGTCCGCTTTTTGCGACGTCACATTGCGACGTTGATGTGAAGTAACATTGGGGCACTAATGTGAAGTCATATTGTGGCATTGCTGTGAAGTCACACTGTGACATTGATGCGTAGTCACGCTGAGACATTGTTGTGTGCGACATTCATATAATGACTC